AACATCCGATGCCGAGAGAGTTTCTTGCCAACGGCTCAAGCATCGTTCATATCATTGATTTTACGGGACGTTATTTGGCTTCCTCAGCAACAAAGAGAATAAACCGGCAATTCAGGAATAATCCTATTCCTTGTGCCACTAGACTTAGAGAGGCAGGAGTGAAATTTAAAAGCGTTACGTCAAGAAATATCTTCGATGTACGCTTCGACAAGAATGAGTGTGCTCTTGAAATCCCATCTTTGGTGATACATCCAGCCATGGAAACAATATTTCGGAACCTCATTATCTTCGGGCAAAGTAGCCTTTGGAATCAGTGGGCTCCTGATGTGATAATAAGCTACATAATGCTTCTAGATACCCTGGTGGACGGTACTGATGATGTGGCTTTACTATGCAGATCACACATTTTTAGTAATACTAACTGGTTGAACCATAAGGAGGTGGTTAACCTCTTCAAGACCCTTTGCGGCGGAGCTTACACGGATGAGTTCCATTATGCTGACCTTTACGACGAACTAGACAGTTATTGCAATAGATTGTCAACAAAATGGCGAGTTTATCTCATCGACAACTATTTTACGAAGCCATGGGCTATAGTGTCTGTAATTTTTGCCAACATTGTCCTGGTTTTCACCATCATGCAGGTCTTCTATAAGTAGGAGATTATGCGTTTTTAGATTTGTCATGTCAGTGCCTGGTTATTGCTCTAATATATTCTTTTTCTTTTGCATGTACTCTTTTGATTTATGTTGTATCTTTTGCTCAGTTGCTTCAATAAAATATCATTTTCGAATTGGCTTTTTAGTTATCTCCATAATTAATCATATATTCATGATCAATATATAAGTTCACAATATATTGACTTCAATCCTTTCTCCATTTTTTGCTATTTCCTGAATTATTATCCATTTTTGGTAAATTACATTAAAATTATTTAGTCCTTAATTATTCTTTATTTTTGTTATTTTTTTTTCACATAAGTATAATTTGAGACAAAGAGATGAGAATTTTAGCATGATAATGTCATAACTCAAATATTGATCATTACCTATGATATACTTAATTAACAACTGGCATATGAGAGTGCCTTTATTTTTATTAAAATATGGACATTACATTCAACAATACTAATGTACCTTCCCTGCCACAAGATCTGCAGTTTTTCTGGGCTTCAACAGCACTTTCGCAAAAGAGATAAATCTTGAGCCCGCTGATGGGCTCCAAACACTGAGCCCCGCAACAATGCAGTTTGCATCTGCTGAAGCAGCCATATCAATGGTCGAATGCCCTAAACTGCCTTCTATCTGCAAAACAGAGCCCAAATTGATTTGGGCTCAGTCCAAATACTAATCCAGAAATATTTTCTTTTTCTTTTTCTTTTTAATGAAAGTATGAAACGAATCTTTTATCAGTAAATAAAGTTTCAATCTTTACCAAAAAAAAATTGAATCTGATTAGTGATTGCGACATAGCAACTGGAACATAGAAAAAGAAAAAATTAACAACTGTCTTTTAAATTAAATTAAAAATGAGAACACTATTTATAATAATATACACATCTCTGTTTGTTGCCATTTCTTTTTTAAATATTTAAACAGTGTGCTCTGTTCCTCTATTGTTTTCACAGCACAGGTAGACTAATTTTGGGCATATAATCTGGCTAGCTGGCTAAAGAGTATGGCATTTTAGAAAGTGGATGAAGTGCTTCGATTCAAAGAATGATATGGGTTCAAAGCAATGCATCTCCTTCACCTACAGTCACCGAACAAGACTTGGTTCTTCTCTATGTGTCAAATATTGCATACAATTTAGACTATTTATTGGCACTTTTTTTGGGGGTAGGTAAGGCCATGGACTTTTTAAATGGTTATATACCGAAAATGTTGAATTTAAAAGTGAAATACATGTAAATAGATAAAAATTTTGATTTAGTGAATATATGGCAGATGAGGTTTTACACCCATGCGACCAAGTTCATACCAAGCTATTCAAACATAATCAAAACAAAGGTGCAATGATTTGGAGAAGGATGGTGGCTGGATGCCCTAACCCTCACCCATCCATCGTCTAACCAAAGAGTTCAATATTGAACTCTCCGAACGGAGGTTGTGAAATTCAAAGCATGGAAATATGCCAACCAAAGTAAATAAAAATAATTGAATATTTTACAATAATTAAAATCTAGGTAGCTTAGCCAACATAGTTGGTAGGGGACCATTAACCAAGGATATGAAAGGCCTCTCATTTAAGGCATGATTAGCTCACCTTAGACTTTAGGCCATTCTTAGTAAATTATTCAAATATGACAAGTCAACATAAAAACAATCCAAACTTATCCATTCTTTAATGAATTTTATCAAGCTGTGATGGATGAGTAATGGTATCTTAAGATCAAAGAACCAGAAGAAATTATTTCATCCAGAATATGGAGGGTCATGGGGAACATTGATCCAATGATACTTAATATAGATTGTCATTTGACATCAAGAAGGATGCAAGGAAATCTCAGGAGTTCCATTTTCAGAATTCCAAGCATGCTCAAAATGCAAAATGAATGGGCCTATACGCCCCATGCATTTTCATTTGGTCCCTGACACTACCACAAACAAGAACAGACGATGGCTACAAAACAATTCAAAGAGATGCTTTTCGAAGGACTAATAAAGCGCTTAGTTGAACGCCAACACGTAAATGTTGAAGTAGACATATCGGCCAACGAACAAAAGTTGGGAGGAGCCATTTCGGCTATAAGAGAAAGATTGAAAAATGCCAGGTCGGACAAAAAAAAGGAATTGGAAGAAGCCATCAAAGCGGTGGGGAGCAA